AATACCCATAATACCGTTAAGTCAAGCTTGGTCAAACTCAAAGTCAAACTAGTAAAAATCCATAAGTCAACTGATCTAACTCAACCGAGTCAACCTAGCTGAGCCAACGCAGCCGAGTCAACACAGAGTGAGTACGCGGGGTGTACTTGAGAGTTGACCACCATCGGGGTGGTTGACCTCGTATACGATGCATACTCCAGGTATGCGGGGCGTACTCCCAGATGCCTAATTTCTCAATAAGAGATTAATAGATTAAGTTCTTACACCTATTTTTCAGATCCATGACTAAAATATCCTCAAGAGTCATACGTTTCCAACTTTATGACTTTGCATGTCCGTTAAGTGCTTAACTCAACTTCTTCATCCATTAAGAACTTCTAAATGATGCATAGAGTAAAACCAACTATTTGGAACCCATTTTTATTACTCAAGACCCTTCCAAAGGTCTAAAAGGACAACTTAATGGGTCAAGAACATGTTGTGTTCATGAATCTCCACATTTGGGACAAAAGGACCAAAAATTAAACCCAACACAAGATCTAAATGGAACTTCACCAAGTTTAAAACTTTATACCTCCTAATGATGCTAAAAGATGGTGTGATCCTGGATCTAAAGAACTTCACTCCTCTAAGGTAGTCTCTCCTTCTTTCCTTCTTCTTCAAAAACACAAAACACACACTTTCAAGCTTAGAAATGCTTCACAAGATGGGTTAGGGTTGCAAAAACGTATCAAGAGGATGGAGGCTGATGAAGTGAGAGGTGAGGTTATAATGGGGTTTAAATATGAGCCAAACCCTAAAAATTATGGTTTGCATGTCTGAAATGTACGCCCTGCGTACATATATACGCTAGTACGCTTAGCGTACATATGTATGCATGGCGTACTCCCCTATCACTCAAATCACGAAAATGATACTGGGGGATTCAATGCACTCTTTCTTGTACTTAGGGTCTAAATTGCAATAAATCTCAATGTAAGGGTCAACAATGAAAGTGCCTCAAAACCATATGAAACAATTCTCCCCCACTCGACGGCTTCGTCCTCGAAGTATGATGCTGCAACTAACCAAGGGTAGTGATTCCATATCTCCACCTCGGGTCACTCAAACGGTCCTTCCCATAACCCTTGAATGAACAACAACAATGGAGGTTGATAACAATTTCCAATCAAGCCTTAAAGAGTAAAATAACCAAGTACTCAAGTAAAACTGTTTTAGAGAAGAACTAGAGAATGAGAGCATAACATATGTAATTCTTTTATTGATAAAGGTGTAAATAATATATGGGGTTGACACTCCTTTTATAGGAAAAGGAAGTACATAAGACAAAAAGAAAACAAGGACATGCATGGATTACGAGCTTAACAACCTGAAATATGAAAATGTGTTCCTATTGATCTTATCGCATGTAGTTTACATAAGACAAACTAAATCAAACAGAAAAAATACTTGTCTTAAACAAATATCATTCTCTATGTCAGAAACTAGACAATTCTTCGGAAGCATAAGTGCATCTGAAACAGATTGAGCTTGGAAAGTACCATACTTCAGATAGACTAAACATTCACTTTTTCTGAATTAACGATGTCCCTCTAAGTGATATTTAGTTATCTAGTCTCCAATTAGGTTGCATTGTCAAAAGAGAACAAGTAGGCTTTTTACAGCCAGTCTATGACTTCAATCCACCAGGTGGCTTTCTCGGTAAACTCTTTCTTGATTTCTCTTGGAGCTTGGGACTTGGCTGTTCTTGAAATAAATCTTTTGTGTCATACCCATTTGCCATAAGAGATAAGTTGAGGACTCATAGACATCAAAGGTAAGCTTTTTGGTAAAAACCTTATGCCATGATGTAGATAATTGAGCGCCATGATGTAGCATACCAATTTCAAGAACGCACATTCTGAATGGTCACCATGACGTGGCAAGAGGAAGGCCACGACGTGGTAGCTGATGCAGCCCATGCCCAAGATTTTTAGGGTTTTCTTCATATTTAATAACCTAATCTAAAGGATTAAATCGTCATATTCATCCCCAACCCCTAAACACGAAACCCTAGCCTTCATGTATGTTTGAGAGTCTATTTTCTTGATTTGGAGCTTAGTGTGGATTTTGGTGAAGCTTGAGGAATGAGGGAGTTCACTTTGGTGCAAGGAAGCAAATATCTAGTTTGGATCCATCATTCTCTTCTGAAATCTGAGCCATTGAGGTTTAAAGTTCATACATGGGCATTTCTTCTTCTAGATTCAAGTTTGGGTGGTTTGGTCCCTTCCGCGGATGCTCTTGGAGACTCTAGAGCTTGTTGTGGTCCTCTTGTAGTCTCTAAGCTTCTGGTAACTAAGAAAAGAGTCATGGTTGGAGTTACTTTGTATCGCTGTTCAATATTTGGCCTCATTAAGGACTTATTAGATTTAGATGTGTATATCTTGCCTTGTGGTTGAGTCCTAATGGATAAAGTTGGAAACTTTATCCATTAAGTCATTGGAAAGGACTAGATCTAAAGTTATGGGTTTAGATCTATAACAATTAAGCTCTTAATGAAGAATATGGCCTTCTTCCAGGAACGACGATGTGGCTAACGGCTTGTCACGTCGTGGTTGGGTCCTATATGCCGACTGTTTTTTCATGTTATGACTACAACGTGACCATGAGGTCTCCACGTTGTGGTTAGTATTTCTCCATCTCGTGGTGAGTGTTTCTCCACGTCGTGGTGAATGTTGACTTGGTTGACCATTGACTTTTGTTAATCGTTGACTTTTAACCAGTTTGACCGTGGGTCAAAGTGTTAAACTTCAAGGACTTGGGTAATTGATTAATGATTTATCTGTATTTGGTGTCAGTCAGTCAGTAGGAGTGATCAATGCAGGGAGTGAGGGTGTTGTTGTATTTCTTTGCGTCTTCAATTCAGGAGAGTTTCTTGACTATACTATGTGTTACAGTCCATATCCTTGTATGTGTTGGATTATGTGCCTAAAACGATAACTATAATTGGTATGTACTTGACATTGATGGTAGCATAGGATTGCCCTCAAACCTAGTAAAAGACTAGAATGCTATTTGAAGAGAGAGACTGATTTGTTAATTTATTATTAATAAATTAATTAGAAATCAAAATAGATGATTTATTAATATATTATAAGAATAATATATTAATTATAAATAATATTTTTTAATTAAGAATTAATTATAATTTAATTTGGAATTAATTGAAGTACTAAAGCTGACAATGTTCAAAAGTTGAACATTGACCAATTCTAGAACCTCCCTAGGAGGTGAGACGAAATTCCAGATGGTCATGGGATTTCAAGAGGTATTCTTGAATTCTAGAAAGTTCAATATCCATTCCCCATATATGACTTCTAACTTAGGCATCGGAGAGCAATACCGGGGTACAACCATCGGTATGGATTTCTAACCTAGATGTGTCAACTTCATGCATTGTGTTGCCGGGAGTGCTCATTGGAAGGAACTCGTATGCAGGAAACCATACATGAATCTGGGCAACCACATAGCAACACCCTACATTGGGCGCTGGTGTTGAATTCTGGATGCGAGTTTAATGACCTACGTTGGGCGTAGCCGCTGCATACCAAAATCCTAAGCCTAAGGTTTTGAAACGTATTTAAAGGCTCTAACTTCTTGGGATGATTCACATAACTAGCCACCATCACCTCTTATCTTTCGTTTGAAAAAATAACCACCATTTTTGAGTTTTGGAACTTTTAGAGAGTTTTGTGTGCTCTTTGAAGGAAGAAAGTGTTTGTAGACCCAAGTAGAAAGCTTCAAGGTGTGTAGATTTGGGTTTTGCAAGCTGACATCGATCTCTGGAAGGTATATTGCTTTCATCTTGATGCTTGTACATGTTAGATCTAGTATGGTTGTGATTTTTATGCTTTTGTCCCCATAATCTTGGTCCTTGTGAGTATGGGTTACTCTAGGCGATATGAATGCTTCTTTTTAATGTTTTTGAGGTTATAGAATCATGAAAATGAGAGCTTGGGCACTCTCATCCATCCATGCATGGGTTCTTGAGCAAAAAGTGACAATATGGACTTAAAGTTTGGTTTTGTGCTCTTCTTAGCGATGCAAAGGGATAAAGTCAGAGACTTTATCCATTAAGACATTCATTTAGATCATATATGGGAGTTTGAGAGTTTGGCTTGCTGTATTAAGAGCTTAATAGAAGTTTTTGGGAAACAGGGGCTCTATATTGGGTGTAGCCTTCTATACGCTAAGCGTAGCTCTATGCTGGGTGTAGATTTATGTATGCTAAGCGTACCCCTATGTTGGGCGTATATTAGTTTGCTACATTGAGCATAAGTCAACTGAGGGTTGACCGTTGACTTTTTGACCGGTTTGACTTTTGGTCAACCATGTTGGGACTTAGTATTGACATATTGCCCAAATGAGGTTTAATTGTGAGTCCATAATGTTCGTGAGTTAGTTATTACCTTAATTATTAATTAGGGTATTATTATGTATATGTTTAGCAAGAGGTTTGATATCATCATCTCGAGTGAGTGGTTTATCTTGTCTTCAGGGTTGAGGTGAGCCTTCTCATTATACTATATATATGATCCTAGCTGTCTTTATGACTCTTGCATTATGTGTCGGGATGTGATCATTGATATATTGGGATGGGCCCATTTTCATGTTTGGTTAGGCCCATTGATATGTTGGGCTAGGCCTGTTGGTATGCTGGGTTGGGCTTGTTTGTATGTCGGGTTGGACTCGTTGTATGGTATGTGGTATTTTCGGGAACTCACTAAGCTTTATGCTTACGGTTTGTGGTTTAAACATTTTAGGTACTTCCCGTTCACAAGGGAAGAGCCTGGCATGATTGCACAACATCCCCTTGATATTATTCCACATTGTTATTTGGTTTCACTCTGATGTCGAGAATATTTATAATATGATTGGCTTGGAACAATTTGTTTTATCTTTTGGGTGCTTGAAAAATGAAAATTTTAACACTATTTTTGGTATGTATGTTACATTTGGATTCAAGGATGCTTTTTATTGATGAATGTGGACATAGTTGATGGCCAAGATAGCCATTTTGCCTTTTCTTCATCGGAAAGGACTTTTCCGATGAAAGGTAGTTCTGTAGAGACCAATTGTGCATCGTCATTTTGAGCTTCTTCATCCAAGGTTTCATTGCGGAGCTAGAATTTATTGTTCCAATTTAATCATTTATCATCTTCTTCTCCCCCCCCCCCCCCCTCTTGCACAAGAGGGCCCAACCTTTGGTGCAAGCTCAACTTACTCTTTCAACTCCCCAAACTTGTCAAACTTTCCAAAGGTTAACATTGACAATCTTGGTCAGATTTTCATAAACTTTAGCAATGGGGGCTTGCTTCTTCAGAACATCTAAAGTTTCTTCAAATATTAATAGGACTTCATCAAACTTGTAATTCATAACGTCCACAAAGTGTTAAGCATATCGACTTACTTTGATTAGAACTTGTTGTAGAATGAGGTTCATTCCATCCTTCGCCTTGATCTCCCTTTTTAACCTCTATATTTGTTTCTCATGAAGAACATGACTCTACTCGATTAATTCATTTGTAACAGATATCATGTATTCATGAATATTCAACATCTGGTCTACTGTTTCGATGTGATTTTAGAGGTTTTCCTCATATCTTTTTTCGAATTCTTCCAAGGTATGTTTGATCCATAGGGAAATAAGTTGATCTAAATTCCGCTCTCGGTCTTGAAGGGATGGAGTGGCAGACTTGATTTCCGAAATATATCTGAGAACTAAATCCGATTTGGAATCAAATGATATGACCTGAGCATTGACCGAATCTACCTTTGCACAACCTTGTCGACTTTGTCTCTCATTTCAAGTAATGTAAAAGGGTCAGCAATAAGTTCATCCGAGGAGCCCGTTTCCGAACTTGATCTTTCAACTGATTCATCGGATTTTCTTTTGTATTCACCATCACCATTGTTGTCATCATCATGGCCCAAATCTATGGTATCATTATTTCCCTCTCCATTACCATCACCAACCTTCATTTCGTCTGATGAGGATTATAGATAGAAATCAACATTTGGTTTAGAAGCGGAAGGTTGCATGAACATGATCAAATCAATCGACTTCTAAACAACTGTGACAACCATATCACCTTCTTTAAAAATCATCTCAATACTAGCTCTATTTTTGTTCATCAAAATTGACTTCATTTGAAGGATCCTCTGAAACCTTGATTGGTTCAGACATCTCCTTTTGGTTTGGTTACATCGTGAGGTGGATCATGCGAAATAGGAGTTGACTCAGCAACATCACTTTTATCATCATTTGTCTGAGGAGGATCATATAAGAGAGTGGCGGTCTCAAGAACATCAACACTTGGCTTTTTGGTAGCACCATTCAGTGGATCATCCAAAGATTTGGGAACGTCACCGGATTGAGTCCAAAATCTTTCTGCTTTCGAGAAAAGATCTTTGTCGGAAATATTTCTAATATCATTCTCATGAGGAAATATCCCAAGGGCTTGTTCTTGTTTCTTCCGAACAATGATGAACAATCATGTGTGAACAATGATGAACATGAACAAGTGAGTAAACTAAAATGTTTAGATAGAGAGATAAAAAAATATTACAATGAAGAACACTCATACAAATGACCACACACATCCACTTTATATATTAGTGGATGTAATATGCTTTCATACAAGAGATATTCTAACATAATAAATCGATCAGCATTGTAGAGCATTTCTTGCTCCAACACATATCAAAGCTCATTTCCATAAATGTCATTTTGGTTCTTTCTTGTTTGGAAGCATTATGGTTTAGATCCAAACTCAATTTTGTTAAGGATCAAAACTATGTAGAACTCAATTTTGTAGGATGAACTCAATCAAGATGAAATGTTGAAATTTGATAGTTTTCGTTCCTTTTATGGAACGGACCAACATTAAACTCCAACTAGATGATGAAATCAATCGAAAGATCGGCTATCTCCAAGCATTTGGTCACTATGTTAGAGCTACATGAAAAATTATTAGATTGGTTCGTTAATTTTTTGTTGTGTGTTTTGGGCTTTACTGAGGGCCTAATTTTATAGAAAGTCGCAATATGGTTTTCCCTTATAAATTTGAGGCTACTCATAAAGGTGATAGATATGCGATATACACAACTTTTAGAAGGTGATACACATTCAATATGCATAACTATGAGTATTTTCCGAATAAATTTGAGGCAACTCCTAAAGTTGATGCACATGCAACTATACGAACAACTTTTAGAAGACTTAAGAGAGTTCCAAAATTTTAAGCTTTTTGTAACTAGTATTTTTGAGTGTTTTCATCAAATCATATTCCTTTGATATAGAGGGTTTGTGAAACACATTGTAATCATGTTGAGTGATCAGCTGAGCGGGTTTTACACCCTATCAACTCATTGTTATTCTAAGTTTGTGTTTTTCAATCGGTTGACTTTGGTACTTATTGGAATAAATGATCTTTTCTTCTTATGTGGATGTACATTATCACCTCAATAGTGGAACCAAAAAATATATGTTATGTACATCTCATGTGGTTAGTATTATTATTATCATTATCTATTTCGGTTTACTGTTTATTTATTCAAATACTATGAGTCGATAATTCTTGGTTGACTATCATTCCTATCATATTAGTTTTATAGCAATCATTGATTGTCTATTCACATGAGGGCCATGACATCACAAACCACCAAAATCTTCCTTCCCTCGATGTTTCGGTGGTCGACTCCACTCCTAGTCTCCCAAAGTAGTTTTCTAAATAACACATTTAGTATTATATCCAACATTGATCTACCGTAGGCCCAATATTATATCCAATATTGTTCTACTGTAGGCCCACCAGTGCACCCTCATTTATGTAACTTCCATCTTCCTCTCATGCACAATTTTTGTCGACCAACTTTTAGAGTCATACAACATAGTTCACCTAATTGTCCCCCTCTACAAATTTCCCTTCAGTTTCAACGAGACAATGATGTTGCACAAACATTATAACGTTTGAAAGCACAACGTTGTAATAAAAGCATTTGAACACACGATGCTACAATATACTTATAAACAAACTATGTTGTTATTTCTTGCATTTATCCCAACTTATTCCTGTAAAAGATTAGCACACATATACATACCATAAGTTGTGAAGTAAGCTACTAGAAATGCATATCAAACAAGTACTGCTCTTTCTTAATGAACATCTTTAATGTTGATACATACAAAAAAAAACAGCATTACAAAATGTTGAAACAACTTAGGTTAGAAATAAATCGTTCTATGAGATTACAAAAACTTAATAATACACTATATATTAAGGGTATACCGACTTACTTATTCTCAATCAACTTTTAATTCTTTCTCTTTGTGTTCTTCATCACCAACTATGGCTCCTTGATGCACATATCCCAATATGTTTTTCTTAATTTAACACACAACTTTTAACAAAAATTGATCTATAAAATATAAAATCCCATTACATTTCTTAATCTTGGTAATCAGATATTGAGTGGTTCGGCTTCCAATTCCCTCCCCTTATCTTGCCCTAAATCAAAACACACAAAATCAACTATTCACTCAAAAAAAAAAAAAAAAACATTTGTTCATCCCAAAAAGAATCTAGAGTAAATTACAAATTTGGTCCTTGTGCTTTACTCAAAACGGCATGTTTGCTCCAAATTTTGAAATCTTCCCAAAGTTAAGACTTGCATTCATTGTCGATTTGTAAAGCACATGGACCAAACTTGGGATTTGAGTAAAACACAGGGACTAGATTTGTAATTTACTCAAGATAATAAAAAACTTACTTGATCTTTCTGCAACCCCCAAAAGCCGCCTTTGCAACATAGATGCAATGAAAAGGAAAAAGGAACACATTCCAAACATTACAGTAATTGGGAATGCATCAACCTTCATAAAAAGATTTAAAAAAGTCAATGAATGGTCAAATGTATATATGTAAGCACAGATACATATATTAAGAGAGAGAGAGAGAGAGAGGGACTCACATTATAAAGTACAATGCATACAAAGATATTAAGTGGAATCCTGAAAAAGTTCATAATTGTACTTCTTGCTTCTTCAGGAATATATTGAGACCTCATTTTCATAATAGATGGCCAAAATAAACCAACACAAGCTTCAAACACACAGAATCCAATCAACTGAATACACCCTGCAAATTTTATACTTCCACCTTTCTCTTTCGAAGGAGCCACCAAAGACTGTAAAAAAAAAAATCATTCTTCAGATTATTTGGCATACATTAATTCAAAAAAGAAAAGCTTTATGTCATTAATGGGTAACAAAATGTTCTAGTTGCTTACCTTTTATGATATTACTTTTTTAGTACAATCGTGTTTTTTAACATTTTAAACAGTTTGTTACCCATTGATGACATGACCCCTTAAAAATGAGGTTAAAAAGTTTGGCATACACTTGTGATGACTGGAAGCAAGAGAGAGGCTGAAGAGATGATGAAGACAATTTGCATGTAGCTTTCAACTTTGATTGATGCACGTGCTAATAAACGAGAAGCTAAAGAGCTTCCTAACATGGAAGATAACATGAAAGTTGCAAAAATGAAACCATGTGGAATGTCTTCACCATTTGGGCTTAAAGCAGGTGTCCATAGAAACACAAAAGTGTACATTGAACCCTCGAATAAAGATTGTATCGCACCCAATAATGCTATCTTTTCATCTGTTTTTACACAAAAAAAGAAACCATTAGTTCCAAATTTTGAAGGCAGAATGATATGTATGCATAATTACAAGATTGCCACTTTGGATTCTTTATGCTTCTCCTGTATAATGTATGTATATATGTATGTATGAGAGAGAGAGAGAGAGACCTGATGCAATTGCAACAGCAGCACCCCTGAATTGGGTCATTAGATCTTTGCTTTCTGATGAGTCACCATAATTTTCAGTCCATGATGATATGATGATGGCCATGCCAATGGCAAGAAAGATTGAAGCTGCATCAAAGGGAGCAACAGGTCCCATGGCCAATGAACCAACTAAAAGATTTCCAAATAAACCAGCTAAAATGGCAACTAGTCCATTTCCAAGAAATATTGCCTTGGAGAATGTAATTGATAGCCATTGTTGCTCAAAACCTCTCTACAGATGCATCAAAACAAGAGCATTAGAACCATACACAATATAAAGGGTATATTTAGTAATGTAATATTGTATCTTACCTTGTTGTGTTCAGCAACAAGCCATGATTCGAAGGCTGAAAAGAGGAGAGAGGTGGCAATCCCTCCCAAGATACGCCCCACCATTAGAATTCTGTACTGAGGTGAATGCTTGGTGATGCAACTCAGAATGTAGGTTATGCAGTAAGTAATTGAAGCTCTTTTTCGACCACTGAATTTAGCAGAAACGAGTTTAATCAAGTTAAATTGAGGAGGATAATTGTTTAAAGTTAAAAGATTGACTGGAATTTGGAAATTACTGTTTGTCAGCTAAGGATCCAACGATTGTCCCAAAGAGCATGGAAGATCCGAAACCAGCAATGAAGAGCTGCCCGATATCTCCTTTCCCGAAACCGTAAGTGGTGTAAAGGTAGTAGACATAAGGCCCCTGCAACCAATCACCAGCTACAACCACCATGAAAGAAAGAACTTAGTCACAAGTCACAACACAATCATCAAAGTGATCAGTGAGTTGTAAAGGATCTAGACTATCCCGATCTAACTCAAACCTATTAGAACATAGTCAATATACTAGCCCAGATCCAAAGGAGTTGTAAAATTTAGCACCATTTAATGTAAATCTAGATAATCCAGATCTAATTCATTCCGATAAATGCCGAATTACAAGTGTCAACTCAAATCATGAACAATTGGTAACGAACATATACAGAAAATGATAATGTGGACGAGATGTAATGATAAGGGAAGTAGAAAGGTACCCATCATAAGGGAGTAGACGAGGAGGTAATTGTTCTTGAAGGAATTGAAAGCAGAAGGAGTATTGATTCGATCTTTGTTGTTCTTGCTGAGCTCCATTGTTGCAACGACAACTCCTAAGGCCCCAAACACAATCAAGTAGAATAGCTCCATGGTTATTGATCTCGATCTCGATCTAAATCTGTGTTTGAGAGGAGAGTGTGTATGGAAAAAGAGAAGACCCTTGAAAACCTGTGTAGTGTTCGCAATTTAAAGGAAGTGATGAGAAAGTGGGAATGTATGTTAACCCCTCGTCACGAGCCGTCGACCTCTAAACATCGTAGCCAGAGTGTCGGTAGGGCGCATAATCTAAATTATTTTTGGTGTTTTTCTTTTTCTTTTTTCTAGGATAATTACAAACAAACAAACAAACGCGTTTATTTCCAAAAACCAAAAAAAAACAATAGATTATTGTTTGTTGGTAATTGAACAACTATTTTAAAAATAATAAATGGTTTTATTTGGTTGAATAGCAGTAATGAAGAAGTAGAGGAAATAGCATAATAGATAATGGGATATACATGGTGATTATATAGAAATATATTCAAATAGGAATTAAGGTTAGTAATATTGGCATATTTATTAAAACATTTCATCAAACATCTTGTGTGGGCTATTGATCTTTGATAATAGGATGAGGGAAGGGAGGGTTTGATTCTTGGAGTGTGTTGAGAAAAAAAATAATGTCATTGCTTTCCTTTCGGCCATTGATACAAAATAAAAGGTTTAGTTCCTAAAAATTCCTAATTGAGTCTGTTTTTTTGTATAAATTAGTATTCTATACAAATATTTATTAAAGTATAATGCATGCTTATAAGAGTTTTCTTTATATCATATGTAGGTATAATATAATTTTCAGTTTATCATAATATATAATATATAGTTTTACTTATATTTATCAACGTTTATTCAAAAAAGAAAATGTTAAAACATAATAATTTTTATAAGAGCATAGTACCCACAATAAAATTATATTGGTAAAATAACAATATTACACATGTAACTATGGCACCGAAAAAACGTAAAACTAAAAGTGATCCAAAATAGCAAAAGTCACATAGAACATTCTATTACACCCAATAAAATAAAAACAATAGGCTTAGAAAATAGCATAAGCCACTCATAGCATACAAATATTAGGATATAATACCACAAAAAACATTCACGGTTTTGATGTGAGCATATCAACAACGATTATGAGGTACGAGAGTAGGATGAAAATAATAGTCAACCAAGATACCAATGACGACTATTTTAAAAGCATTGTAAACAATAAACCAAATATATGTACTAACCACACAAAATAAACATCTATGTGTAGTAACGGAGTTTGAAGTGTTGATTTGGGAGGCCGAAAATAGAATATGTACAAAAATTTAAAGAAAATAGGGAAGGGGGGGGGGGGGGGGGCGATTATAGAACATATCTAAAATTAGTTCAATGACAAGACTTATGCACTTCTTGATAGGATTAAGTGATATATATATATATATATATATATATATATATATATATATATATATATATATATATATATATATATATATATATATATATATATATATATATATATATATATATATATATATATGATAATCTATGTAATTAGATCCTTTGTCTAGTGTTCATAAAGCTTACTCTATGGCCCTACGAGTTGAAAAACAAAGGGAAGTGTAGATTAATTTATCTACCCCTAACGATATGTCTGCCATGTATGTGAAATCTTTAAACGCAAACAATAATTTCAAGAAGTAGAGTAATAACTCTCAGTACAAAGGTAAAAAAAGAATATAAAATAAAGAATCAAAATGATCGATATTGTAATTTTTGCAAACTAACCGCACAAACAAAATGATTGATGTTTCAAGCTCAATTGATAGAATGAGTATAAGGATAAGAAAAACAACATTACAACTCTACTCACTGTAACAACTCAGATTTTCTACATTTTACGAATTGGGGATTATAGATTTTTTTTTCTAACAAATATGGAATTCTATAAAAATTAAAACAGATACATCCAAAGATTAATCACGGGTTAAAAATACAATATAATATATTAAATAAGCAACAAGGAAAAATGTAACATCTGTTTTCCAAAATGGATCAGATGAGGGCTTTGAGGGATCAAATGAAAGATTTTTGGGAAAAATATAGTTCTATGATGTGGTGAATGGAGCACCA